CCAGCTTTATTTATAAAAAATGGTACATATATAAATATTCTTAGACATTTTTGCATTTTACAAGGCTGAGGATTCTTGTTGTGGGTTTTTGTGGGAGCTATGGGCTATTTTTGCTTCCTCGGGAGGAAGATGGTCTCACCAAGACCTGTGGTTGCTGCCTAGGTCCGAATTGATACAACGGTTTCGTCTGCCTTAAAAAAATAATAATAATAATAAGAGGAGGAGGAGGAAAACAACAGAAAAAAAGGGGAAAGCAGTGTTTCTAGAGCCGATCACCTGATTTGTTGTGTGTGTCGTTGCCTGAGCAAGCGGGCGCCGGCCAGCAAAGCGCATATCCCGGCCGCCGCCGCCCTCAGTCCATGTCCACCTCCTCGCCATCCGGCGGGCTGGGTACGACCGCTGCGCCAGTCTCTGCGGCGCCGCAGGTGGCCAGCTCCCCAGCGGGGCTGGGAGCCCGCGGGCCAGGCCCAGGCGACGTCGCCAGCGGCGGGGGCGGCGGGGCCGTGGGGCAGGTGGTCCCCGCGTCCGCGCAGTCCCCGGAACCGCCCTCGGTCGTCGCAGCCGAGGCTAGGTCCCGGAACGCCGCAGGAGCCTGGGCCCCGGGAGAGGCGACGGCGTCGGGGCTTCGGCGCGCAAAGGCCGAGTCCGGGGCGCCTCCGGGCCCAGAGAAGGCCCCGAAGCTGGCCTGAGCCGGCGGCGCGGGCGGCGCTGCAGGCGCGGGCGGCGCGTCCTTGGGCACCAGCTCGGGGCCCGCACCGCCTTTAAGCGCGGCCTGCGGCACTAGGAAGCCGAGCGGTTGCGTGATGGGGTAGAGCAGGAAGTGGCCCTTGCCAATGAGGGTCCGCGGCGCGCATGGCAGCCCGGGCGCGAAGTCTAGCCCCGCAGCCGCTGCAGTGCTGGTGGGGGCGGCTTTCCGGCGCGGCGGCGAGTCAGACAGCAGGCTCTCCACGCTGAACGGGCTTGCCTTGGGCAGGCCTGCGGCGCCGCGCTCCGCAGACGCTGGCGCCCCGGGTCCGCACGAGGCCGCGTCCTTGTCTGCAGGGCGGCCTAGCCTCGGCTGCGGGCCGGTGCCGCTTCTTTGGCTCGGGTAGAAGGCAGGGTCGCAGGTGCCGGGCGCAGGAGGTTCGCCAGGAGGTGCGGGCACAGAACCTGCGGCGCCAGAGGCGTGTGCGCCAGGGCCCTTGGCTGCGGCGGCGGGCGGCGGCGGCTCGGGCGGCTCCGGGGACAGGCCGCCGCCGCCGCTGTCGCTGTCGGAGCTGGGAGCGCTATGCAGGGACAGGCCGCCGGGCGAGTGCAGGTGGCGGCTCTGGCTCTTGAGCAGCTTCTTCTCGTGCTTGCGCTTCTTCTTCTCCATCTTCTCCAGTTCCTTGCGCGCGATCTCCTCGGGGTCCATGGGCTCGCCGCTGCACGTGGTCGGGTGCGAGTTGTGCGCCGGCCGCCCGGGGCCCTTCTTGGTGTTCTCCTTTTTCCTCCACTTGGCCCGGCGGTTTTGGAACCAGACCTAGAGCAGCCGAACAAGGGAAAGGAAGGCAAAATCAGGCGGCAAGCCCGCCGCTGGGGCTCTGGGCCTACCATTCCCTAGACAGGCCTGCACAACCTCAGCTCAGGCCAAGAGAGCGGGATCCAGGCCATGATCCCTGCCGGCCCTGGGCTGGATTTTGACACTCGGGTTGCAGCTTCCAGCAATCACTTTTTCCACCCGGAAGGAGCGCAGATGGGGCCTCCCAGCCAGCTTCCCACTCTGGCGTCTCACCTCTGGGGTCTGGAGCTGCCCCTTCCTCAAGCAGGGCCGGTGGGGCCCAGGACCGAACGCTGCGGGTTCCTGGTCTCCTGGCAGAGAGCAGGGCCCCTCCGTGCCCTTCCTGGCTTCTCACAGCTCCAGTTCTAAGCAGCGGCCCAGACTGGCGATGAACCGCTTCTGTGGGCGGCTGAACCGCTTCTGTGGGCGGGCAGCCTTCCACACCTGTCTTCGGACCCCTGGAGACTGTGTCAAAGCCCAGATTTCCGAGTCTCCCATGAAGGGAAATCTGGATGCTTCTTCCTCAAGAGGGCCTAGAAAGCCGAACTTGAATGGACATTCTACCACCTTCTCCCCCATCACAGCTACTGCCCGTCCTTCTTTCTGGGAGGACTGGACCAGGGACCAACAGAGCTTTCCCAACTAGTTGTTTGGTCTAGGCCATGGGGGAAGGCAAGATGGGAGGTAAGAGGCTGGCCTCCCAGGCCCCCAAAGAAGTCAGGGCTCATCCTGCCTCTTTGGAGCTCACTGCAAGGTCTTGTCCCAGGGAGCCACATAGGACTCCAGAGGAACAGCAGCCCTAGACCCTTATTGCACAACCCACCACTACACAAAGTCAAATCCCTGCTGAGTCGACAGAGCTTTGGGCAGCACTACCCACCCCTAGAGAGCGCGATAATTCAAATTCTTTGTTGTGGCCACATAGAGATTCCACACAATAGCAGACCAGGCCTGGTCACTGGGAGCCTTGTCCATGCAGAGGTCCCAGGCATTAAAGCAAAACCATCAACAGCCTTCCCCCCCCCCTTTTTTTCTTTTAACTTCTTTTTATGGTGCAAATTCCAGGCTGCCCCTGCCACCAAGAATTACTCATCATCGTATGAGGGGAGAAATAAAGGGATCTTGACTTCACTTACAACACTTTAGAACAAATTGGATAAAAGGATTTCCAAACAGAAGAGGTCATCAGCAGAGGCCCAAGCACAGAACCAAAAGACCTTTTTAGGCAAAGCTATTGGTGCTAAACAGGCATTCTGCCAGCATCTGCCTCAAAGCCAGGTGCCCACAGCACCAAACTCCTCTCACCAAACCCAGGAAAAGGAGGTTTCTATACTCCAAAGAAGCATTTAGTTATGCATAGATCATTTTGAATTCTAATGTACCAAATGACTCTGTGTTTTAAAAAAGAATATCTCTGGCTGACTTCGAATGAAATCAAGTAACTGAAGATAGGAGAAAGAAAAAAAAAAAGAAGACGACAAACTCGGGAATATTAAAAATTCAGACTTTTTTTTTTCTTCCCACTTTCTCATATGTATTAACCATTGAAGTTTTCCCCTCCCTTACCTCACCTTCCCCCTTCTACAAAGTGGGGAATAAATACAGGCTTCCATCTGAATATTTTACAGGCAAAAGACAAACAAACCCGTTTGCTCAAGGATGGGAGACAGCCTCCCGCGAGAGCACGGAGCACCAGGGCCCAGCTTCTCCCTTCGAGTCTGCGCCCCGCCGGTGCCTCCTCACCCCAGCCATGGAACCCTTGGAGACTTCTTTTCACACGGGCCGAGCGAACCCACCACACCACTTCCCGGGTCGCACGCAGTCCCTGTTCCCGCTACTTCGGTGCTATGGCGGCCCTCTCAAGCTACCTAGGCTTTCACTAGTTACTCACCTCCCGTTGCGCAAGGGGTCCAGCCCCACTACTACCACACACGCCCCTACACCAGCAGGCGAGCGCGGAGCGGGCTCGTAGCCTGGGACAACATCCCGCCTCCTAGAACAAAGGCGCACAGCGCTTGGCGAGCACAGCGCCGGACCGCGGATCCGGGAGGGACGCGGGTCTTTACCTGAACTCGGGACTCCACCAGGTCTAAGCGCAGCGCCAATGCCTCGCGCATGAACACGTCAGGGTAGTGGCTCTCGTTGAACGCCTTCTCCAGCTCCTCTAGCTGCCAGCCAGTGAAGTTGGTGCGGGTACGCCGCCGCTTGCAGCCCGGGCTCTCCTTGTCTGGGTCCCCCGAGTCTGCGGGCACGCACAGGACGCCGCGAGGCTCAGCCACCGGCCCAGACCAGATCCCAACCCCATCTGCGCCCACTGGCCACGCAGATCGAGGGCGCACAGAGAAGGTTGCGCCACCGGCCTGTCACCCAACTCCTCCGCAGAAAAGGCCCCCCTCCCCGCCCCCAACTGTCCTTCTCCCAGCCCGCGGAGCCTACCTGACAGTTTGAAGGGCTGGCTGTCGCCGCCAACCCCACAGGCGGCCGGCAGCAGCGGCGTGGGGTTGACCACCGAGGCGGCCGCCGCTGCGCAGGAGCCGCTGAGCAGGCCGTCGATGGAGAACGGCACCGAGGCGGCGGCGGCGGCAGCGGCGGCCGACTGCAGCTGGTGGCCGGCCAGCTCGTACACGTGGTGGTGGCCCAGCGGGTAGGGGAAGCCCACCACGCCGCCCAGCGAGCCCCCGAACTGGGCATGCGGGTGCTCCAGGAGGCGGCCGTCCATCATCTCGCGCGGGGGGCCGGCGGTGCCGGCGGCGGGGCGCGGGGGCGCGGGCCGGGGCCGGGGCGGGCCAGCGGCGGGAGGCGCGGACGGCGGCGGCGGCGGAGACAGGCACCCGGAGCCCTACACATGCTTCGCCCGCACTCCGGCGCTTTACTTTATCAACATCAAGCTCCCGATAATTAGCCGCGGCCCGGGGAATTTGGGACCAATAAGAAGCGCTAATCGGCTCTGACGTCAGAGGCGTGCTGGGTGCAAGGAAACGTTTTCCATATCGATTGCTAATTATACCTGACATGCACCTCAATAAACAGTATCAGGAGCTGTCACAACAAGACGGGGGGGGGGGCGGCAGGCGGGGAGGGAGGGGCGCCGCCCAGCGCGGGGCAGCGGCGCGCAGCGGCGGGGCAGGGCCCCTGGCGAGCCCCCCACTTCAGCCCCGGCCGGCCCGCGCCTCCCCCGCGCCGCTCCCGCCCCTCCGCAAATCACTAATAGATTTCCCTTTAAAACATTCACCGGCGTGTTGTGGGGATTTTTCACCAGAAATGCTGTACTCTCTGAACCTTTAAAGTGATGTTGCTCCAATTACAGAGAGACATTGAGCGGCAAATAGACTGATCCAATAATAGGAGATTCATCATCCGCTCTTTCCGAAACTGTCACATTGAATTTAAAACTACAAGGGCTTCTCATCGCCTCCTCTCTGGCTCCAGGAGGCGGCGAGAGGAGAAAGGAGTAGGAGGAGGAGGAAGGAGGAGAAGGAGG